CTTTCACGGAGAGCACAGTGGCCAAGCAATGGCCGTGACTCATCCACATGGCTGCACTGACAAAGGTTCTACAATCTGAGGTACAGGATCTCAGGATAAATCCTGAGGGCATTTCACTGACCTTCTCAGACCAAAAAGCTACAACTCTTGTTGCACAGGTCCTGCTTTACCTTGGTCTTAACCATCCAGTAGAAAAGTATGAAGACGAAATATAGGAAGTAAAGCCACGCTGTTAAGTTGAGCTGTGGGGGACTCAGGTCAATAATTTCTGACATTGCCAGTCGAACAGAAGACCCAATGCTATTATGGGCTACTGGACTCTTTTAGAATATTTTGCTGAGTTTACACACCTATAATATTCAATAACGGAACTTAGAAAAAATGGGGTATACCGATGAATGTCCATTTTGTATCTGTGTATTCAAAGTGGTTAGGATATATAGTTGCATTCTCTTAATGAATAGAATGATTTGATCTAATGGTGTTTGTAAATAGGATCTCAAGTCCGTATCTTGTACAGCAATTAACCACTAAGAAGAATATATGTAGTGTGTTATTTGTTGAATCTGTACTTCCGATTTGATTTGAAACTGTCTCATTGCTATTTATCAATAAAATTTTGAAAAAAAAAAGGATATAAGGCAAAATAGGGAGAATGATCAAACTGTCACATATCCGTATGTTTAACTTCACCACAGTCAGGGGGATATAAGGCAAGATAACATCCTATACAAAAATAAATTTCAAACAAACCAAGAATTAAAACATGAGAAATGAATGGGACAAAAGTCACAAGTTAGTCATTTTTAGAAATGGCGATCCAAATGCCCCAAAGTATATGAAAATATGTTCCACACATTGGCACAGGGCTAGAATCCCAACATTCAAGAGGCTGAGGCAGGAGACTTAAGAGTTTAAGACCAGCATGGACTACACAGCAAGACCCTCGTATCAGAAAAAACGGTTAAGTTCCATGTGTGAGCACACCAATTAAAACACAAGAGGGGCCGGGGAGATAGTGGGGCCTGGGAGATATGTCAGTAGAATAAGCACTTGCCTGGTAAGTGCAGGATACTGCAAAACACACACACACAACCTTCTCCCACACATAACACTGCAAGGGCAAACAGACTAACAATAGATTAGTAAAGATGGGGGCAAAGAAGCACACCCTCTTGCATTTCCATTAGCGATCATACAAGTGGCCGTAAGCAGACACCGCGACCCTATGGTGGCCCTATGGTGCGACACCTGAGTGTTCCCTGGGGAGGGGTAAGGCAGAGGAGACGCTGCGGCCAGGGCCAGCCTCAGCAGCAGGCCACCACGCAGCCACACACTGCTCCTGAACACCCTATGCCAAAGGCCTAATCAGGCCTAATCCACAAAGAGCTTTGATGTTGTCATGAGGGCGGCACCCCACAAGTGGGCTGGTGCCCTGAGGGGGACTCAAGCACCGGAACTCTTCTTCTTGAACCTGGGATTGAACTCAGGCCCTGGCGCTTATCAGGGAAGCACTTATTTCACTGAGCCATCTCCCAGGCCAAGGCACCAGAACTCTTTCTCCACCATGTGAGTGAGGCCAGGAAGGAGGCGCCCACCAGACGCAGACTGTCAGCACCTGGGTCTTGGACCTCCTAGCCTTCAGGACAGATGCTGAAGCTGCCCAGCCTACAGGGTTGTGTTTAAGCAGCCTAGACAAAGACACAGCTTCAGCCTAGCCTCTCACCCTACTGAGACAGCTCTGCTTTTAATTCAAAGCTTTCGTATGGAAGTCAGTCATCTAATCGGGGAAAAAATCTACTCCAGCAATGATATACAATGAAAGAACAATGCTGCTTACATTTTGGGGAGATTAGATCCAGAGAAACTTACAAAGAAAGTATTTGAGCAACAGCTCTAGGGGCTTTCACAATCATTAAACCTTCATCCCTGCAAAAATAAAATCATAGTCACAGATCATAATTTTCCTTAAAAAACTGTCAAAAAATGAAGCCATCATGCCGGAGTACTTAAACAGTGGCTATATGGTCAGTCCCTGAGTACACAGCATCCTGCTAAGACCTGAAGAGGTAACAAGAATGTACCAGACTAAGAAGAAGTCATCCCAATTAAAAGACTCATTTGTTTGTTCAACTAGTATTTGAGTTCCCACGAAGAGCCTGGCAGTATTCCAGGGGCTGGAGACAAGATACACAGGTTTCCTTTCTCAAGGAAGTTACATTCAGAAACAGAGAATGAAAAGACACTGATAAATATGCAAATAAACAAGAAATGTTCATGGGGTAACTCCTACCTCAAGGAAAATAAAGTTAAGTGTACGCTCATGAAATAAGTCATGGATACTGGGTCACTAAGTTTGACCCAAATCACCAGGCCAGACAGTTGGCCTGAACTGAAATCACAGAAGAAAGATTTAATCACACAAGAGATTCTGGAAGGGCATCCGGAGTTTTATCTGAGTGTAACAAGCAGCCCAAGAATTCAACGTGGGGGAGTACCGAGACAGGAGCTGCATAAAGATTATCCAAGATCATCCGGGTTGAGAACAGGCAAAAAAGAAAAAGAGGCAGAGCTAGGCTACTGCAACAGTCCAGGCAAGTGGACACTGGCCTGGCCCAGGGTGACAGCAGTGACATCAGGACAAAAGCACACAGTCAGTACACCGCAGAGGCAGAGCCAAGATTCTGGGTGGATGGAATGGCAGAAGGGGCACAAGGCTGCGCTGGCAGCTTAAGCTACCTGGTGAGGCTGGGAAGACGAGGAGGAACAAGCACTAGCGGAGGCCAGGCAGCAGCACGGTGTGCTCCTAGTGCGAGAACCCCCCGACACGATCAAGGTGATACCAAATAGAGGAATGACAGCCACCAGGGGCTGGAGACCGAGGGGGTGGCGAGCTACTGTGTAAAGGGGACAGTTCCAGTTTTTATAAGCTGAACAGTTATGGGGATGAAGGGAGTGATGCACAACATCAGAGGCACACTGGCTACCACCGGATGGCACACTTAAGAGTAAATTTTATGAAACACCAAAATGTGAAGGGGGAGGAAAAAAGAAAACAGATGTCAAGTAGGCAATCCGATAAAGGAAATTTGAGGTTTTCGGGTTTCAGTGCGATGCTCAAATCCAAGCATGACAAGAAAGTTTCCTTAACGAATGCTGCCAAGAAAGGCTTAGAACTGAACCTGTCAGAACCTGACAGAACTTTGGAAGTGTGTGGACACATACCAGCACTCTTCATTTTCTCTGTGGCCAACGTGAGGAACAGCAAGCTGAAGGACATCCGGAAGGCCTGGAAGCACCGCCAGGTGTTCTTTGGCAAAAGCAAGGTGACGATGGTGACCTTGGGTCGAAGCCCAGCTGACAACAGGCCGGTAAGAAGCTGAGGGGTGAAGCTGGCCTCCTTTTCACCAACCACAGGAAGAGGTCAATGAGTGATTCACGAAATACACAGAAATGGACTTTGCCCGAGCTGGGAACAAAGCAGCTTTCACCATGACCCTAATCCAAGGCCCCTGGAGCAGCTCCCCAGTCCAGGTAGCCTCAGCTGAGACAGCTGGGACTGCCCACTGCCCTCAAGAGAGGTGTGGTGACCCTACTATCTGACTATGAGGCGTGCAAGGAGGGCGATGTGCTGACCCAGAGCAGGCCCGCATCCTGAAGCTCTTTGACCATGACATGGTGGAATTCAAGGTGACCATCAAGTACATGTGGGATGCCCAGTCAGGAAGATCCCAGCAGATGGGAGAAGATGACTTACTGGAGAGCACAGAGTCTTCAGACGAATCAGAGGCAGAGGGTGAGGACGACTGACTCAGACTCAGGACCAAAGGCTTCCAGCCTGTGCTGGTCCCCCCTGGACCACAGGACTGTGGCCATCTTTCAGAGGGAACAGCTATTTATTTAGCTGTGGATGAGGACAAGAAAGGAGAATGGGGACCAACTGTTTCCATAAAGAATCACACTTTGTCTGCAGGTATCTCCCTGTAGACAGTAAGAGACTCTTACGAAAAAAAAAAAAAAGTCTTTAAAAATTAAAAAAAGAGAAAGAAAGAAATTTGAGGCTTTCTGCACTGGTCCAGGCTGAAGTTGTACTCTGGGGAATCAACATTATACAGCTGTTAAAAAACAGTGCTAGGATCGCCCAGGTCAGGGGTCAGGTAAAGAGCAAGCAGAACTCTGCCAGGTCCACCGGACAAAGAAGCAAGGGCACAGGGCTGCGGGGAAGCATCTGGGGCAACAGATCAAGACAGACAAAGCACCAGGTCACTGAAGTCCAGTAACTGACTCGAACTCTCCACACAGCTTAGGCCAACAAAAGAAACTCGGAATCTTCGGCCTGTGTGTTTGTCTAAGGTATGGGGAGGAGGAGGCATACAATTCCCTTCACTTACCATTTGTTAAGTATTTTATCTGCGAATTTGACCCTGGAGGAGGGCCAAGGGGGAGTGGGGCTCTTAAGAACTACATCAGGACAACTACATCACCACCAAAGCAAATCCTGCCTAGTACATCCCAGGCTGTGTATCACTCTACAACTCTCAAAACCAAGCATTAGAGGGCTCTGGGAGGCTGAGGCAGGAGGACCACAAGTGGAGTCCAGCCTGCACAACTTAGCCACGTAGAGATTTAGTGGGACCCTGGCAGGCTCAACACAGAGCCCCTTTGCCCCCACCTTCATTAAACAGAGAGCAGCCGGAACCCTTTAACCTTCCCAGTATTCTGGGTGTGACTGTCGGACGTGCGGGGGCGCCACCTCTCCGGGGACGGCGGCAAGAAGGGACTGAGAAGACCCACGCCCCCTGCAGCCTGGACGCGGCGGGCAAGGGCGCGGAGGTGCCCACGGAGAACGACCTCGGCATCGGGTTCGAATCCCGGCGCTGCCCCGAAGCCCCAGGGACCAGCTCGTCTCCCGACCCCAAGAGACGCAAGGACCGGGTGCGGCACGCGCCAGGCGCGGGGGAGGGACCGACCCGGCTCGGCGGGCGGCAGCGACCACTGACCTGCTTGAAAGTGCTGCTGAGGAAGTAGACCAGCGACAGCCCGAAGACCAGGGCGAGCACCCACCTCTTGCGCAGGAGCCGGCGCCACAGTATGGCCGCCAGGTTCACCATCCCGGCGCGGACGCGGGGCGCGGCGGCCGGGACAAGGAGCGGGGAAGACGCGGGGACCCGGTGGCATGGCTCCTACGCGGCCGAAGTCCCCATCCCCGGCGGCCCAGCCAGCTCCCGGCAGCAGGCGCGCGTCGCCCCACGTGACCCCGCCCCACAGCCCGCCTCCGCCTTGCGTCACTGGCGAAGCACTTCGGAGGCCCCCTCGCCATTGGTCGCTGCGGGTTTGCGGAATTCTATTGGGTGAATTCAGAGTAAGGAGGCGGGAAATCATATGCACGTGACTGTCCTGGCTGTACACCGGTCCTAGTGCCCCGCCCATTAGGTCTGTGTTCAATCCCCGCTAGAGGCCGGAAGCACTCGAAAGTCACGTGCTGCTCAGGTCGCTGCAATGATTGGCTTAGCCGGGGGTGAATGATGCGGCCGTGATTGATGATTTTTTTTTTTTTCTTTTACCCTGGCCTGGTCTTTGTAGAGTCTTGGCCTTACGGTGCTACACCATTTTGCGCTGTAGTTTGATTGTGTGAATCAGAAGCGAGCTGGGGACACTGCCTTTTCCTGCTGCTCTGCAGGCTTCTCGGTGCAGACCTTTAATGGCCAGGGGGAGCCACTGCAGATATCACAGGCATCGAAAAGTCTCGCTGCGGACCTTCATAGGGACACAGTAGGATGTATATGACAGAAGATTGAAAGGCTTCTCGTCTAGTTATTGAGATGCATCCTGCGTGCGAATATGTGTTCTAGGATTCACAATTGGAATAGTTTTGTACGGCCTGCTTCCGACGGGGGATGGGAGGTCCCTTCCAAAAGTCTTGGGCGTTTGATGGTGTAACAGACTTGTGGATGGTAATTTGGTGATACTGAATTTTATTTTTCCCAAAGATTTGGAGTTGATGGGTGATGTTGGGGGGCGAGGGTTATGACAGCAGGATTGCCAGTTTATAAAATGAACTGTCCTTTGTAAATGAGGATGATGCTGCTGGCTCTCTTCTTAGCTACTTATCCAAAAGGGAGAGGTGGTTGCATTGTTGGATTGTCTGTCCTTGTCGGCCCTAAGAAGTGGCCCTGGTCGGGGTTAGGAAGCCACTCAACAGCCAGTTACAGACCTCAGCTAAGTTAGATAACCCCCTGCAGTCCTGGTACAAGGAAATTTTCCAGGAGGCTAAGCTATTCGTGGAGAGTATATGATCTTTATTTTTCCCCCCCTAGTATGAAAGATGGGGCAGGGAACAAGGGATCTCAAAAAAAAGCAGCTGGGAGGCCCGTGGTTTTCTTCAATGAATAAATGCATGAAATCTTTGTGCCCGCAGTGTACTACGTGCCTAGGTAGATGGGCAAACTAAGTAGACAGGATCTCTTTTTGTAGCATTTACCTAAGTGGGAGGGCAAATCACAAGTAAATATACATGTAAATTGCTAGTAAGTGTTGTGAAAAAAATAAAACAGGTTAGTGTTTCCCAGGAAGGTGGGAAAAGAATGCTTCTGAGGGAAAAGTGGCCTTGACCTGAGGGAGCTAACTAACGTGCACGGGGGAAAACACCCCAGAGAGGGCGCAGCAAGCACAAAGGCCCTGAGCCAGGCCCAAACTGACATGCTGGAGGAGTCGCGCCAGTGAGAAGAGGGCAGGTGAAGGGAGTGAGGCTGCAAACAGGTGAGACTGTCCGTAGGCTGTGGGCGGAACTTGAGTTTTTTGGTTGCAGTGGAAAGCCAGTAAGCATCTAAAACATTTTCAGTAGTACCCAATAAGGACTCACAATTTGACAGTAAAGCAAAATATGTTAAGATTAAGACCCTTAAGAGTCTTAATCTTAAGATTAAGATAACACCCTTAAGAGTCTCAAAAGGGAGACTACTCTTTGGGGCTACCCAGAGATCTTGAGCTGATGGAGTCCTCTGCTTATAGTTAGCGGAGAGGTCCCAGGACTTTGCAGATTGGTGACAGCCCATGGACTGTTTACACAAGTGTTCTGTGCCACCAGGGCTTGAAGACTCTGGCAAGCTCCCTGACCTGGGCATCTCTCTGGTGAGGAAGAACACGGCAAGCCTGCTGTCTCGGGGATCCTGTGGTCACCTCACCAGGAGTCCTGAGTGTCCACTTCAGTGTCATCAGGATGGAGTTCTGAAGTCCATGTGGCTCCTTGCAGTGAACCAGGTGAAGTGTTTCCATGAGAATTCATACCCTAATTTTTTTTTCCAGTACTAGGGACTTATGCCAGGGCTTCCAGCATGGTAGGCAAACCTTCTACCCCTGAGCTATATGCCCAACCTTTTTTATTTTGAAACAGAATCTCATTAAACTATCCAGGCTGTCCTTGAATTTGCAATCCTCCTGCCTCAGCCTCCTGAGAGGCTGAGATTACAGGTATATGCCCCTGCACCTCACTTGAATTCACACCTTCATTACCACTTTATCAAATGTGCAGATAGAATGAAGCTTCAGGTTTGACCACTGTCCCCCATCCCATGGATCATGTGGGGAGCCAGAAGCAGCGCTTGTTTATGGTTACCATGGCAACGTGACAGGCAAGTGGACTGTTGGGAGACTTGGCTTAAGCATGTGTTGCTTTCAGGTGTTAAAGAAAATGCAGAGGCGCCACAGCAGCAACACGGAGACCATTCCACCTGAAAGGTAGGCACCCCGATTTCATTCCATCCAAGGGCCCAGGACTTCGGGGGGTGAAAGGCAACCAAGACAGGAGTGAATAAAGCCTGCTTCTTAGAGATAGTTGTTAAGAGTCACAAAGGAGGTCGGGTTGGAAACCGATCCGCAGTGTATTAGTCAGCTGTGCATTCCGACGACAAAAGATCCAAGGTGGCTAATGTCATGAATAGGTGACCTGGCGTATAGCTTTGGAGGCCGCAAGTCCAGTTGGCGTGGTACAGGCACAGTGGCCGCCCTTTAGCCTTACCATCTTGTAGAATAGATGGCAGTGGAGGCTACAGGTGTCGGACCCAAGAGATTACCTCTGGATACAGAACCTGGGAGAGGGAGGGGCCGGGTTCTCACCAGCTCCTCTGAGGACACACCCCCAAGGTCATTAGTACCTCCCACCGGCTCCACCTCTTAAAGGGCCACAGCACCTCCCTGGATCAGCACGCCAGAAGCATGACTTTACATGTGGGCCTTGGAGGGGAGGGTCACCTGTGCCTCAGCACACTAGCCCTGTGTCACTAGCTGCTGTTGCTTTTGTGATGATTCTCAATCCCTGTGTGATGAGCAAACTACTTGACATTGTATCAATAACTGTACTCCGGGATTTTAACTTATAGGGATGTCTTAGTCCATGCAGGCTACTGTAAGAAAAATGCAGTAGTCTACATGGCTTAAACAGTGAGCTTTTATTTCTCACGGTTCTGGAAGCTGGGAAGTTCAACACCAAGGCAGTGGCAGATTCAGTGTCTGGCAAGAGCCAGCTTCCTGGTTGACAGGTGGCTGTTCCTTTGCTGTGTCCACATGGTAGAAGAGAAAGGTATTTCTCCGTGGCCTTTTATTTTATAAGAGCACAAATCCCTTTTGTGAGGACCCTACCCTCGAGACCTAATCATCTTCAGAAGCTCCCATCTCCCAATGCAGTACCACCGGCAGTTAGGACTACAGCATATGGATCAGAGGGAGAAACAAATATTCCATTCAGAACACTGAGGGAAAACACGGAAAGGCCACTGACATTGATTGCATTCCCATAGAGGACAGGCACCGTGCACAACACAGGGCCACAGAGGGAAGAGCTAGTGTTGGATACGAGGCAAAGCAGAGGGAGGACAGAGCCTTGATCACAGTCTTTGCTGGGAAAACCAAGTAGGGAAGGAAAACCGAGGAGAAGGATACAGTAGTTTGAATAATTGTTCTGGGGCAGAAAAGTGATCTCTCGTTGTTTACTCTCTAGCCCTGGGTGATTTAGGACAGAGGAGATGGTTTTAGCTACTTTCTCCTTGCTGGGACAAAATACCCAACACCCACAACAGAAAGGGGAAGAGATTTGTTTTTGCTCCGCAGTCACTTGACTGCCTCCAAGGCAGAAGAGCCTGGGGGGAGGGGCTGGTGAGAAGAGCTGCTCCCTCCCTGGCAGTCAGGGAGCAGAGCAGAAGAACAAAGAAAGCCTCTGGATCCTGCTCCCAGCACCTTGCCTCCAGGCCCCAGCTCCCAACAGCAAGTCAACTCTAGTTTCCTTAGATGCAGTCCCCACCCATACACCTGAAGCTTTTCCGGGACACCCCAGATCGAAACCATAACTTTTATCCCTGACCCCCAAAAGACTCGAGTGCGTCATTTTATACAGAATCCACTTAGTCCATGTCTGAGAATTACCAGAGTTTCAACAGTTCCAACACTGCTAAAAAGTTCAAAGTCTCCTCTGAGCCCTGAGGCAAATGCTTAGCTGTGAGCCTAAGTAAAAATTAAAAAGTGAAGCACCGCTAACATATGACAGTACAAGGGAAACACTTCCATATATGACAGTACAAGGGAAACACTTCCATTCCAAGAGCGAGAAAAGGAAAGAATTGGACCAAAGCACAGTAGGACAAACGTTAAATCCTGTAGCTCCATATCCAGAATCCAGGAACAGGTTGTGGTGAGATAACAGTTCCACAGAATTTAGTGGCCCCACACCCAAGGCATGGCTGGTTGCAGCCCTCGTGGCCTCTCCTGGGATGGCTGTGCCCACTGCCTGCAGCTTTCCTCATTCCATGTTCCTGAGTTCTCCAACTTTCTGGGGGCTCCACTGCACTTTTAGCTTCACTCCCACAGCTTCAAGCACTGCCCTCTCAGCTGCAAACTGTGTGGCTTTCCAGGCCTTCTGAAATGTGGGTGAAAGCCTCCCCTGACCTCATAACTCCTGCATTTTGCAAGTGCACCCCATGGAAGTCACTAAGGTCTGCCCCAGCTTGAGTAGTAGCCATAGTCAGGGTCAGTGCTTGGATAGGCTTCCTTCAATCATGGATTCAGAGGCCTCTGAGTACCTGGGTGGTTGAGTACTCAAAACTAAATCCAGGGAAACCAATTCCCTAGGTAGCTGTTCTTAAGCAGGCTGTCCTCAGGCTTTCTTCTCAAAGAAAAGTTTTTAGACAAGTTTATCCTTGTGTTTTTATACCCTTGAACCAGTGAAAAGTGTAGTCTTGCTGATTCCTGGGATACCTTCAAAGTATCCTTCCTGCTGTCTTGCTGTAAAGTACTTCTTTTTAATGCTAGTCTTTTCATCAAACAAGCTCTCGTAGGCCCCAATTTTACAAGGGCTTTCTTATTGGTAAAACTCAAGACTTTTTAAATCATTCAGCTGTACTGTTTGTTCTTTATCCTCCATGTCGATCTGGCTAAGAGCAACCAGCAGTACCCATGCAACAGCCCAACTACTGGGCTGCCTTGAAATTTTTTCCACCATTTTAATTAGTCTACCCAATTTCAGTGTAGCCCGGAGTCTCAGGACATGAGCCAAACACAGGCAAATTTTCTACCAAAGTGTAACACTTATGACTTCTAGCCCAACTGCTAGTAGAATCTTTGATCCCAGCTAAAACCTCCTGATTCTGTTCTTTATCATCAACGTTTCTTTCAGCATTCTGGTCTTCTGAGCTCTGACTAGAAGTTCCCATCAAGCTTGGCTCATTGCTTCCTAGAGCTTCTGTAGCCAGCACTCCCAACCTTTCCACACTCTTCCTGCAAACCCATTCCAAAGTGTTCCAAACCATATGATCCTCAACAACCCCACTTCTTCAGTACCAACATCTGTCTTAGTCACTTTCTTATCTCTGGGACAGAATACCCAATTCCCACAGTTTAAAGGAGGAGAGCTTTACTTAGGCTCACAGTTGTAAGAATATTCAGTCATAGTTGTCTGGCTCCAAGGCAGGAAGAACATGGTGGAAGGGAAGCTGTGTTTGCCATGGTGAGCAGGCAGCAGAGCAAAGGGAGGCAGCAGGGAGGGAGATAGCCTTTCTGGATCATCCCCCAAGTGATCCACTTCTAACAAGGCCCCACTCTTAACAACAAATTCAACTACTGAACTCATTAGTGGGGGAATCTACTGATGAGCACATTTAGGATCAAATTCTTCCACAAACTCAACCAGCATAGGAGGCTGGAGGGGGGCATTCTCAGGATAAACCATTGTGGAGGTATTGCCTGCACGAGTGATGAAATAAGAGAGAGTGGGAAAAGGAGCCCTGGATTGCAGGAGAGATATAAACAGCTTTGGTCATGTTGGACCCTGTGGTAAATAGATGGCAAATGGATGAGTATAACGTCTCAAGAGTATATAGTTAAAACTTACAACCTTTTTTTTGTTTTTTTTTTAAACCGGGGATTGAACTCAGGCCCTTGCGCTTGCCAGGCAAGCACTTATTCTACTGAGCCATCTCCCTGACCCAAAACTTACGACTTTAAACTCAAGAGAGTATACCTCATGGTATCCTCAGATTGTGATGGTCTCCTGCCCTAGACCTCTGTGCCAGCCTGTGCATCCAAGGAGTGGGTCGTCGAGTCTTTTCACTCTTGCCCCCATTCCAGATTCTCTGCATCCCTGCATCCCTGGACCCCTGGTCCAGACCCAGTAAGTCTAGTCTCAAGCCTGCTTGTTCTACAAGGAAGATCATGGGCTAGAAACAAGATGAGCCTGGGTCAACATCGCAGTCTCCTCCCACCTGCTGTGGTTTGGGTTCTGTGTTTCCTGAAATTTGTGTTAGAAATCTCATTCTAAATTCACCTACCGATGACATTTGAAAATGAGGGCTTTGTGGGACAATGAGGTTAGATAAAATCTTCATGGTGCAGCCCACTGTGACAGCATAGGAAGTGGCTTTCTAGGAAGAGAAAGGGAGACCCAGCCTCTCACACCTGCTGGGACTCAGCATGGGGTGCCCTCTGCCATGTTGTGATGTAGCACAAGCCCTCACCAGGTGCAGCATCGTGCCCTCGGGCTTCCCAGCCTCCAGAACTGTGAGCCAAAGAAAGCTGTTCTTTATAACTTTCCCAGTCTTGGGTCTTTTGTTATAGCAACAGAAAACGGACTTAAGACACCAGCAGTGGTCCCTTTGGCATGTGATTGCACCCGTAGGTCTCCATTGCGCCATGCATAAATGACAGCTGATAAAACTCAGAGCTGCTTAAGAAGGAAGAAACAGGTGTGCAGATGCGCATATATGGCTGTTGGCTGGGACGGAGAGTGCCTGCGGGAGTTTCCCAGTCTCTGCTCTTGTGTGACCCGTCGGGAGCTCTGAGGGCAGAAACCATGGCACTTTCAGGATGACCGCAATGTGTAGAGCTTTACTCCGTGCTGCCCTCATGTGGGCCTGATAATGCCAGGGCTACTGTGCACATTTTATAGATGGATAAACTGAGATTCAGCGAGGGGAAGTTGGTTATGTAAAGCCACCCATCCAGGAGGTAGCAGAGCCGAGATTTAGGCCTCAATCCGTTTCTCCCCCGAGGTCTGCGCCTTGAGACATCAGATTTGCCTGCCTCGCAGTGGAGTGGATCCATTACAGCTGCTGGGCTGCCTCAGCTCTAGCCCTCATTGGAAGCATGCCTCTGTTTCCCCCAGGGAATGTACTTTCCCTTTTAAGCAAAAATCCTGGCTGGATACAGATAGGAGAGAGACCCAGGGAGGGAGGCCAGCTATAAAAAGCCCTGGGGGGTCCCCAGAGCCCCGTGCATAGAGAGTGCTAGTTACCTCAGGGAGAGTGGGGAGGGCTTTCCAGGCCCCCATGGGCCAGTGGGGGGCACCCACAAGGGCCAGTGTGGACACCTGCCAAGACTCACACTTCCTGAGCTTAGCAGCTTGAAGTACAGAAAAAACCCAAGGCCCCTTGAGGCTCATAGCCATGGGGTCTGTTGTTGTTGTTGTCATTATTTATATTATCATTATTAGTATCCAGGGCCGAAGGGAGGAGGACCACACATTTCCAAGTCTCTTGGTGTC